TTCAAAATAAAAAAAGGGCCGATAAAATCATTTTCCCCTCTATAAACATGTACATCCTGGAGCCTTTCCCATCAACCTTTTATCCACCAATACATAATCTAATAAACTACTTTCATTACGTGCACATCATACCTTGTATTTTTTATTTATCCTTTTTTTCAAAAAATATGTTTTTTCTTATTACCAAATTTCTTTCTACACATAGCTCAATTAAAAGGCCCCCCCTTTTAATTTACCCGGGCACCCCCCAAATTTACCTACAAATCCCCCCTTTAAATTTTTACCCACTTTAGCATTAAAACCCCAACCACCCTTACTCCACCTTGATTTTAAAACTCCCCCCCCATTCACTCAACATTTCCAAAACTCTTCTCTCCCCCTACCTTCTCTCTTCTCCAGGTATACACCTTTTTTATAACCCCCCTTTCACATCCAATCTTTATTTTTGTCCCAAAAACCTTGAAATTTTTAAAACATTTAATCCCTCTTTTTTTCCCGCATAGCTTATCCTTCAACATTATTGTACCCTTCTTTAGCTCAACTCTATTTGAAAAACCCCCGACCTTCCCTTTTTTTCCCTCCACTGAAACTCCCCCCCACCCCCTTCAGCTTTGTTTCATTAAAAACCAGGACATCCCGCTTTTTCTCATTTATAACATCCACAATATCTCTTTCTTTTCATCTGCACAAAACCCCGCACATTCAGACTCCCACTTTGACATTTTCTTCTTTTTTATTCTTTTTTGTAATTTTACAGGGGAAAAGGGGTTACTGCCCATTGTTTCCCGGGATTTTAGTTGACTTTTACAACACGCATGGCTTTTCGGAGGAAAGATTTTTATTCCCCCTCCCCTGGGTATAAAAGGAAAATTAATAAGACCCAAAAACTATTAAAATAAAATCAAAAAAAACTCAGAGAGGGGGTATAAAAAAAGTGTACATGTATGTGTGTGTGACCAAGTGTAAGTAGAAGTACAAGACTGCCTGTAATCTTGCAATTTTTTGAGAAGACAAAAGACATCACAATCCCACCACATTTTAAAAAAATCACAGGCTTCGTTTTTCACTCATTGGGAGGAGGGAGTACCTCCCTGGTGGTTTTCTGTCTACCAACCTACTACCTATAATAACCTATATATATATATATATATAATATAATTATATATATAATATAATA